CTACAACCTGCAGGACAGCGGCCTTCGAGGACCGAGTTTGGGGATGCCTGATTTTAAAGCATTGTTATAACTGAAAGTGCAGGGATTGAACTGTACTGTAGGATGCAGTAGGAACGTCTACGTCAGATGAATAAGCATCGGCGCCATCAAGAAGAGCAGGGCGTGTCTGTTGGAAGGCGCAACCGAGGGAACGGGCCGCTTCCTCTTGGGGCCATTGCAGAGCGGCGTGTTGCAGCAGGTGATGCACACTGAGTTCAACCTGCCCGTACAGAACTGCTGATAACCGGAGGAGGCGATGAGGCAGGCCCCAGAGGATGCGCAGGACTTCCGATAGTGTATTCCTGTAAGAGAAGAGGGATTATTTTTATTTTAAAGAATTTCTAAATTGAATAAATATGATTAATGGAGCGTTATAGAGCCTCCTGTCATTGGAGAACGAGGGGAACATTTTCTCTGCAGTAATTCGATTGCTGAGATTGAACATGTAACTTTGGAGTCTTTTGTTCGGCTTTGCTCTCGCAGCACTTTATTGCTCTGTTTGACTTATGGAGATATCGATTCTCAGTCTGATACTATTAGATGATATTTGTCTGTATTTCCGTTTAAAGAAAAACTGCAGCTGGCTGCAAAAGGTACAGTTTCTTCTTATTGGTTACATCCGTTATGTCGCAGCAGGTTCCATTATCTGGAAGAGAAAATGGTAGAAAAAGTGCAGGCCTGGACATTTTTAAAGAAATGCAGACTTTTTAACAATAGATACATAAAATTAGGGGCTATGTTAGCAATAAGTTTTAGCAAAGTTGTTTGAAGAAGTGAATTTCATCTGACTTTGGCCTCATAGATAATTTTAGTTAGTTTTTTTCCCCCTGAAAAATGCTTAAAAACATTTATTTAAAACAAAAAAAACTGGTTCCTTGAGTCCTCTCTTGCAGATAGGATTTTTCTGTTTGATCAAACATAGACTTAGACAACTTTTAATGTCATTTTGTCTACAGATTATATACAAAAAAGAAATTTTATTCAGTGCAGCTTTCCAGACAGTAAATGAGCAATTTCCACTCCATAAAGTTTCACAGTGATCAAATGTAAACAGTGTAAGAGAAGATTTCCTGTTAACTTATTCAGGGTTAAAGGGACAAAATTAAATACATGTACCACAAAATAAACAAATGCAACATGAAATAATGACATGGAAAATTTAACCAAAAAAAATGGTCTATTAAATGTCACATTTAAATAATTGTTTAAATACAAAAACAAAAAATGTTTAATGAAATGTTCTGTTAAATAATCAAATGCACCATGTATTTAATACAGCACTGAAAAATAATATGCACCATTAAATTATTAAATGTAAATAACTAAATGTGCCATTAAATATATATTTTTTATTAACAGGAATTGCTTTCTCTTTAATGTTCTGATAGGAGTCGAGTCTCTGGGGAGGATTCACTAGAATTTACAAGAGCTGTATATCAGTTTATTTCTAGCGATATTTGTGGGACTTCAAAGGAAAGTCGGGCTCTATTAAACAGCTGTTTCAAATGTCAACATCTGGCTTTACGGTAGGTCCTTCAGCAGAGTCGTCTGTTTATGTCAGCCCAATTTGCCCAGTGCTGGAATTTTATTTAGGCTCAAAAAGGAAACTCTAAACACCAACAGGACGGATAAACTGTGTATGGAATATATATATATATATGATGGTTTATACAACCTTTTTTCACCAGGATCAAATGGTTTTTGGTCTTTTTGTAAAGGTATACAACATGACTATGCACCTAGTAGTAACTTAAATAATTAGCTCCATGCTTGTACTGTTATCTGAGGAAAAGTTCCTAATAAATTACAGCTATTTTTCATTTCTCTTGTCAATCTTATAAAATGGTAGCTTGAAGGGTTTTTTTTATGACGACTTATGTTACTTTACATTTATTTTTGAGAAACTGGAGATGCCCATCAGACACTTGAAAGTTCAAAGTGCAAGGTTACCATGTGTTGCTCTGAGTGTTGGATCGAAAGATTGAAAAAAACATCCATAACTCCTGCAAAGGCTGAACTTTTGACCTGCTGAACTGCAGCCCACACTAAATACATCATCCTCCTTCCATGCAATGTTACAGTCAGAGTGGACTCATAGCTTATGATGAGTTTAAGCGAGGAAATTAGACATTCAAAAGCTTTTTGGCTATTTAGTTGTTTGTTGGCTGTTGAAAATCAGGGACTGAATCTGGGACTTTGTGCTTAACTCAGTATCTTTTTAAACTATTTCTAGATGTATTGAAATGGGTTCTAGACATGCATCTTTTACATCTTCTGGTGATTTTAAATTTAAGCTATAAAATAGTTAGAAATGCTGATATTATAGTGTCTCATTATGGCTGTAAAAAAACAGTTTAGGAAATTATTTCAGTCATTTAAATGTTTTATTCAAATAGTCCTATCCCACATAGTGTAACCTTTAAATCAATTATCAACAAGTCCAAGAGCTATTTTTTCATCGTTGACTGTAAAGCATCAAACTGCTGAATTACATTTAGCTATTTAATCTAGAGTTTTGGCTTATTTTAACACAGCTTTAGGCTACAACCACACGGTGCTGAAAAAGTTAACCGTTCAGAGTTTGAGTATAAAGACGAAGGAGCACAAACCAGATGGAGCCATAATACGGGTTGTAATATTTATACCCCGCCAGTAGGTGGCAGTTTATCTTTAAAGAGCTGTAATACTGTCCATTCAGATGGATGTGGTGCCACATAGGCAGTAAGGCTGCTGTCCATCAGGTGAGATAACTGTCAATAAAAATGTATACATAGGATTCTATATTTGTATCTTGAAGTAAATGTAATTAAATTTATGATTAGTATTTGTCCCTTTTTCTCAAACAAATTTGCACATTTCTAATTCAAACTCATAAGTTGCTGGTTTCCACTCAAAACTTACTGATAAGTGCAAATATATTTATGATTCTTATCAATTTGTAATTTATATTTATAAATTTGGAATTTATACTTGTAAATTTGGGATTCTTTATTTACATTTTTTTCATCTATATTTATAAACTTATGATGCTTTAAAAATGTTTGATTTGTTCTTATAGATTTGTGATGCGTTTATAAATTTGGTATTCATACTCAGAAATTGCTGAGTCATAAATACGAATTTCTGAAAGTTACCAGTATGTTAACAACTTGTAGTTGTAAATTTCTGATTCTTTATGGATTTGTTTTCATACTCGTGAATTTACTTTGTTTTTATACATTTTTTATTTGTATTTGTAAATGTCTGATGGGTTTGTGATTTGTATTTGCAACTTTGAGATTTGTACTTATATTCTTTCAAAGTGGTTTCTTTGTAACTTGTACTTGTATTTTTTAAACTTGTATTCTTACTGCTGAAATATCTGAGGTTACATGTTTGAAAGAACTAAAAAATAAAAATCTTAAACCTATTTGTACTATAAAGTCACATTTAGATATTAGGCCACCTACATGTTACACGTTTGTATTGACAGTTATCTTACCCCACAAATGTCCAGGTTAGACCCTCACCCAAGGGTTAGAAAACAGGAGATGATTTATTTTGTGCTTTTTCAGGCATTTTAAACAGTTTTTCATTTTTGGATGTGGGCAGTTAACAGGTCAGCATTACATTATCCTCCTGTACCTTGTTAAAATGGAGCCTAGGCGGAAGTTCAACTGAATAAACTGAATACTCTCTTACATCCACCTGCAACACAGCCAATCAGCTTTGAACCACACCTCCACGAAAGCCAATCGGCATCCAAAGTTCTTCTTAAAAGGCCTCTGATCCGCTAGTCTGCTCCTGTGTGCAGGCGGCGGTTGTGCTATGTGACCTCATTCAGATGACCCCGTTTCAACCCACCTCCACCATCGTAGCTAAAGCTTCATCAGAGTGTCATTCCTCCACTGCATTCCCTATCTCATTTCAACCAGTCCGGTAGAAGACCGCCATGTTGAGCCTGGTTCTGCCAGAGGTTTCTTCCCAACGGAGAGTTTTTCCTCTCCACTGTCGCTCCATGCTTGCTCATCATGGACAGGTTCTCTCAACCTATGTTAACCAAACTGGACTTCCATCTTCCAGGTCCCTGAGTGAAGCTCTATAATCCGCTGGATCTCCCCATAAAGCTCAGCAGACAGTCTCTCTAACCAGCAGTCTGCAGACTGACCAACTTCATCTATCTCCAATCCACCACCAGTTTCAGGCCTGGGGGGAAACAGCCCTATTCTTTGCTCCTGTTCATGCATATCTATCAAAATTAAGCCCTATGTTTCCTGCCGAGGTCTGAGCGCCAAAGACAAAGTAATTGTATCAATAAATTTCTCCTAATGGTCTTTTCTCTTGATGTGAGTTTTTCAGATTAAACTGGTGCTCACTAATGCAAAGTCAACATATAATCTAGTTTACTTCTTTTACTCATGTTCTCCACAAAAAAAACAACAAAACTAAAAGATTTCAAGATGTGTTTTTTATGTATATATACATATATATATATATATATATATAGAAGCACAGAGAAAGACCTCACAACAGGGAGAAAAAAAAAGGTTTAAATATATACATTTATCTATTTCAAAGATTTAACTTTTCGCAGGCTTGTATTTGTTGACTGCAAAGATTTCTATTGCTGTGGAAATGCGCGGATCCGCATCAAATGATGGTTCTCTTTCTTTGAAGCTGCATAGAGGTGTACAATAACAGATAACAATGTCTGTTCCGCTGAAAATTGCAGGAGATTGTGTTGACCTCTTCGGAGGGGGCAGCTAAGTCAGACATGAGGGAGGTATTTGAGACGGGAGGGGGAAAAAAAGAAGAGGTGAAAGCTGGCTTCTTCTCAGAAATATTTCCTCTCCTTTTGTTTTACCTCTGAAATATGTGTCAAAAGTTCAATATTAATGCAGACATAATGAGTTGCTGTTTTTTGCTTTTAGTTTAGAGGATCAAAAATTAATGTCATCACAGCTGAGAATCGTTTTTTTTATTTTAATGCTTTAGAGAAAATAATCTTTGGAGGTTTTGTGCTTTCTGGGAGCTGACTCATGTTCCCAGATGGTTGGTTAGAATAAGATAGAAAGCCTAATTTGAGACTTTGGATTTGCTTCCTTAGATTTAAATAGCTCCAAAACATTTTAAAATAATAAAAAGATGTAAAGCGCATTCAGAGAAAGTACAAACCCTACCATCAGCTTTGACCAGCACCTCCTTCTGGCACATGTCCTGTACGTTGACCGTGCAGTTGACAATGTATTCTGGTGTGGAGCAGTCGTTGTGCTTCATCTCCTCACACTGGTAACACTGGATCTGAAGGGCATTGCCTAGCAGGCGGAAACAGGAAGGAAACAAAAATACATCTGGATTAGAGATTAACCAATACAGGGATTTTTTCTTTTTAGGGCAAATGCTGATTCCGATTATTCTGACATCAGTCCAGCTCATATTGCTTTTTTTTCCTCCACTTACAGGATCCAGAAGACATATTAATATGACCTCATAACATAAATTTATGAGTATTAGAAACAAATCTGAGTAAAAACTCAATTTATGCAGGTACACAAAAAAACACACATCTAACAAATACCAAATTTATAGGTAGAAGTCCAAAAATAATTAGTATAAATCACCAATTTATAAGAACAAATCACACATCTAACAAATACCAAATTTATAGGTAGAAGTCCAAAAATAATTAGTATAAATCACCAATTTATAAGAACAAATCACACA